CACAGTGCCACTTCCGGCTTTTTTCTTTTTGCTTATGTGGTGCTGAGGAATCGAACCCAGGGCCTCAGGCATGCAAGGCAAGTGCTCTACCACTGAGCCATGAACCCCAGACTTCCTTCGGTATAAGACTCCCCCACATCTCTCAAGACATGCAAAATACACCCAGACACCTTAGCATGACATTCCAGGTCTTTCACTGTCCAGAAGGCCTTTGCCAACCTTCCAGGCACCTAATATCCAGTACAGCCCCAGTCCACACTCCTGCTTGTCCATCATGGCACATAGAGGTCCTCTGCCCACTCTGTGCCCACACTCTGTGCCCACACCATGAGAGCTTTCTTCTTCTGAATCCTCATGGTGAACTCCTGCACACTCTTCAACACCCAGCTGAAATGTCACCTCTCTGGATGTCCTCGGGCTGAAACTGATACCCCCTTCTCCACATCTCTTAGGGACCGTCTCACAACTGATCCGCTTCTGTGTGTCCTCTCTCCCATATTGGTGTCCACAGGACATGGAACCCAGACCCGTCACAGGATATGGGGTTCAGACCCAGGAAGTAGGGTTCAGACATGGCTGGGGTCTAGGCACAGGGTTGGGGTCCCAACCCAGGATGTGGGGTGGGACACAGGGTATAAGGTTCAGACTCGGGGTGAAGTGCAGAAGCAGGTTGTGGTGTCCAGCTGCAGGGTGTAGGGATCACATACAAGATTTGGGGTCCAGAGATGAGTTTAGGATTCAGGCACCAGGTGTGTGGCCCAGATTCATCTCTGTGTCTTTCAGAGAATGGGCGGGCAGAAGGGCAGCAGGAGATGGACAGTGGGGAATGGATGACCCCTGGGGCATTAGGAGAGAGCGCAGCGTGGGGCAGAAAGGTTGGGAGGCGGAGCCAGAGGGTGAGAATGGAGGAGCCACAGGAGCAACCAGAGAGCAGGGAGAAGCCAGCCAAGGAAACTGAGGCCTGGGCGTCCGTGGTGGAGAATCTGGGAAGACGGGGGAAGAGTTCAGCCCTTTCTACACATGCAGGGGGATGAGTGGGGAGACAGTGGTCCTGTGTCTCTCCTGAGAGGATGACAGGATTTGGGGCTCAGTGCCCTGGGAGGAGGGAACCCCTAAGTTTCCTGAACCTCATGGGCCACAGCCAATGGTAGAGCTCAGTTGCTGCCCCTCCCCGGCTTAGCCGCCACTCCCCGCCCCGCTCAGCAGGGCGCTCAGCAGCCCAACTCCGGAGCTGGGAGTGAGCTGCCCCGGAGCCCTTGCCCGGTTCCAGCGTGAATCTCACCGCTCGCTGAATCCCAGGGCTAGCTCGGGAAAGTTCCAGGTGAGCCTGGGGAGGAGCGGCTCAGGTCCAGGTGTCTGTGGTCCAGGTGTGCCCTGCCCCTGGGCACTGGAGGTGGGGGAATTTCTTTGGAAGGGAGGGCATCGAGGGAGGAGGTCAAGGTGCCTGGGCCGTCCCTGGAGCCTGGTGGTGGTGGGAAGGACTTCTCATCTGCTCCAGGCTCTTCCTGCTCGCCCCAGCCATTGAAAGTGGGAGCCGGCAGCCCAGTGGGAAAGTGGGAGAGGGCTGAGGCCGGCTGAGCTTAGCAGCTCTGCCAGGGCCTGCCCAGCCAGCTGGGAGCAGCCTGGGGGCTAAGGGCTGGGCCTCCCGGGGAGTTCCTGGGAAGCCAGAGTTCCACCCACCGGAGGCAGGATGGAACAGAGAAGCCGTGACTCACTGCAGGGCCACCCTGATAGAGAGATGAGATGGGTGGGAGAGAGTCACCCCTAATCCCCCTTCACCCCGAACCTACCAGGTGAAGGAGGGAGAGCATACAGACGCACAGGCAGCTCACTGGCACTGGAGCAAAGAGGGCTCTGAGCAAGACCCGGCAGATCACAGAGGGTGGGCTCAGAAACCAGCCTGCTGGAGGGGGGGGGGTTCAAATCCCAACTCTGCCATTTACAAGCTGTGGAGCTGAGCAGTAAGCAACTTGATTGGCAGCTCTTAACTTCCACTTGCCTCATTTGTAAATTGGGAATATCAAAATACTACAGAACTTTCCTAAGGCTGCTGTGAAGGCACAATGTACTGACATATGCCCGACACTATGTAAAAGACGTAGATTGTGCAGGGGTCAGCGGTCAGGAGGACTATGACCTTCCAGCCTGACCCACGATTGGAAGGGTGTAATGACCCCCAAGATACTGTGCCCACAGGCTCTCTGAGGTTCCAGGGTACACAGCAGGGTAAGACCACAGTGTCTGGCTCTCAGCACATCCCTCCCTGAAATCAGAAAACTGGGGTGAGGAAGGTCACACCCCAACACTTCGACCGCATCCCGAGCTGTTCCTTAAAAGGAGGCAAATTGGCTTTTGTGGGTTTCTCATACCAAGTTCACTAGCAGAACATGATCAGAGACTGGTCAGTTCACAACACAGGAAGGGGAAAAGAGTTTTGCAGTCTGGGTTCAGAAAGGCTGCCTACTGCAACCTTCTTTTGTAGAATCACAAAGTGAACTGTATCAGCATGGCTGAGTTAAGAGACCTATTTAACTTTGCCCAACCCAGTACTGGTATTCTCCTTCTTTCTCTCTCTTTCTTTCTCTCCCCACCCCCTTTCTACCCCTTACCCCCACTCTGTATGTGTGTGTTCCTGCCAGTACTCGGTTTGAATTCAGGGGCCTGGTCCCTATCCCTGAGTTTTTTTTCTCTCAAGGTTAGCACTCTACCACTTGATCCACACCTCCACTTCCTACCTTTTTTTTTAATTTATTTATTTATTTTTTATTTGTGAACATCCTGTACAGAGGGGTTACAATTACATGGGCAGGAAAATGCGTACATTTCTTACCAAGCATTGCAGCCTCCTCCTTTGGTTTAACACTTCCTACCTTTTTGAAGTATAAATAAGAATCTTGCGGATTTGTCTACCTGAGCTAGCACTGAACCTCAATCCTCAGATCTCAGTTTCCTGAGTGGCTGGGATTACAGGTGTAAGCCACTGGCATCCTGCTCCAACTTTTCTTGAACACAGAATTCTTTTTCTTTTTCTTTTTTTTTTGCTGGTCATGGGGCCTGAACTCTGGGCCTGGGCACTGTCCCACAGTGCCGCTTCTGGCTTTTTCTGCTTATGTGGTGCTGAGGAATCGAACCCAGGGCCTCATGCATGCAAGGCAAACACTCTACCACTGAGCCACCTTCCCAGCCCTTGAACACAGAATTCTTTTCTCTCATACTATCACTGGCCTGTGAGACAGGATTCCCTGAAACATGGCTTTGGGAAAGGCTGGACAAACTCTAGGAAACCTTTTGTATACAGATAGTGTGTGGCTCACACTTTATCTTTAGGTTAAATTGCCACTGGCCATGCTTCAGGTAAGTCGCACCTAGGCAGAATGCTGCTGGGGATATTTATTTATAAAGCATCAGGTACCTGGAGACTGGAGTTCCAGTCCCCTCTGCAGCCCACTCCCAACCCAGAAAAGGACAGATAGCAGTTTCCTCTTGGGAGGGGTTGCTGACAGGAGAGGAAGAGGGTGGGCTAAAGTGGAAGTGTCCAATGGGTACCTCTCCCCCTACAGGCTCCTGAGAGGAAGGAAAGCTGTCTGGACCAGCCCTCACCCGCCTTTACCTGAGTTCTGCACCTCATGCTTGTGTCACCTCACTTACCTGTTTCCTTGCGGTAGCGCCCAGCGCTTGCATCCACCATGAACTGGAGTGTCTTTGAGGGACTCCTGAGCGGTGTCAACAAATACTCCACAGCCTTTGGCCGCATCTGGCTGTCCCTGGTCTTCATCTTCCGCGTGCTGGTGTACCTGGTGACGGCGGAGCGCGTGTGGAGCGATGACCACAAGGACTTCGACTGTAACACCAGGCAGCCGGGCTGCTCCAACGTCTGCTACGACGAGTTCTTCCCCGTGTCCCACGTGCGCCTCTGGGCCCTGCAGCTCATCCTGGTCACCTGCCCCTCACTGCTCGTGGTCATGCACGTGGCCTACCGCAAAGCTCGGGAGCAGAAGTACCGCGAGGCGGTGGGCGAGGGCGGTGGGTACCTCTACCTGAACCCCGGCAAGAAGCGGGGTGGGCTGTGGTGGACGTACGTCTGCAGCCTGGTGTTCAAGGCCGGTGTGGATATTGCCTTCCTCTATGTGTTTCATTCCTTCTACCCGCAGTACACCCTGCCACCTGTGGTTAAGTGCCACGCGGCCCCGTGTCCCAACGTTGTGGACTGCTTCATCTCCAAGCCCTCGGAAAAGAATATCTTCACTCTCTTCATGGTGGTCACGGCCGCCATCTGCATCCTGCTTAACCTGGTGGAGTTGGCCTACCTGATAGGCAAGCGGTGCCGGGAATGTGTGGCGGCGAGGAAAGCCACGCAGGTCACGTACCTGGGCTCTCCCCCGGACTGCGTCACCCCATCCAGCAAACAAAATGATCTCCTCTCGGGAGACCTCATCTTTCTAGGCTTGGACACTTACCCCCCTCTCTTGCCAGACCTCCCTCGGGAGCACGTGAAGAAAACCATCCTGTGAAGGGCTGCCTGGACTGGACTAGAGGGCAGGGCCTGGATTGGAAGTTTCCAGAAGCTGGGGGGCGGGGGGGGGGAGAGAAGAATCAGTTGGAGACCAGCAGAGGGAAGATTTACACACACACACACACACACACACACACCACTTCCACCTGCCCCAGCTCTTCCCTCTTCTGTAAATGGCAATGCCCAGGACCATCTTGGAGATTAATAAAGGGGAATCGGTTACTGATTCCAGATGCCCTTTGGTTGTGTGGCCTTGGTGACCCTCCTTAGGTCACTGTGTCAATCTCTGTCCCTGGGAAGGGCCAAATTAAACCTGGCTAGATGAAGAGTCCCCACATCCTACCAAAAACGCCCTTCCAGTGCTCCAGGGGGCCGGGCCACTTGCTCCTGCACACAGGCAGCCCTTCACCAGGCAGAAGTTTAGGCCCTTGGTTGCCTACAAGGTCATGATGCCGAGTACATGGGGCATGGGACGTGGGCCTGGAGTGGCAGGTTGCAAGCCCGGTGTCACAGATACTGTGGAAAAGCGACCGGACCCCCTCTGCAAAGTGGGTTCCTTAAAACCCATGAGGACTGAGGAGTGAGGCTGTGAACAGGATGAGCTGGCTGTAATAGGCCTCAGAAATGTTCACCTCTGCTATTAGGAAGTGCTCAATAAATGCCTGTAGGAAATGAGGCAATGGGGCCCCTCCCTGGCTGCCCATTAGCCTTCACCATCCTTGCCAGACCTGGGGGGGGGCACCCTCTGGAGTCACCCCCTAGCTTCCCTGGAGGCCTCCCTCAGAGGCATGGGCACAGAGGGCAGGCAGGAAAACCATGAGCCTGGCCCCATGCCAGCCGGGGTGGCTCATGCTGCCAACTGACATTCCTTGTGTCTAGCAGGGCCTGGAGCGCTGGTCTAGAAAAGCCACAGCCGGCCCATCTCCCTCCTATCCAAACTCCAGTCCCCAGGAAATAAAAAATGCCCAGCAGAGTAGGACACAGCCCTGGGCTGGCCCAACACTGTCTCTTTTCGTAGATGCCAATGGGTGAGGAGCTCAGAGCCCACTGCCAGAGGGAAGGTCAGGAGAGAGGCCTGGAACCCAAGGGGCAGAGGAAATGAGTGCAGGGAACAAGATAGGGGCAACACTACTGGCGCTGGCCTAGGCCAGGGCCTGATGACAGCGGGCTCCAGCCCCCCTGGCTGCAGTCCCACCCACATACCTGCCAGCCCAGCCAGGCTGGAGAAAAGGCGTGGGCTAGGGGAGAAGAGCTGCAGGTGTTTGCTCTGAATATGTGCCCAGGGAAGTCTAACCGCCCGGCCTGCCCCTGCCCTGCCCTGCCCACCCACCCGATCACTCTCGCTTGGCTCATTGGCTCAGAAAGCCCCACCCCACTGGGGAGTAAGGAACAAAAGCTGCCTCCAGGAGGCCCTCGGGCACGCGGGCACACAGGCACACCGGACAGAGAAGCTCAGGGACCGACCGGAGAGTGGCTGTGGGACCCGAGAAGGGTAAGAAGTGGATAGGGCTGAGGACAGCAGGGGATCTCAGGCTGGGAGCTGGGCTTCAGGGCCAGAGCATCCACTAGGGGCCAAGATCCCTGGAGAAACCCCAGGAAAGCTTCAAGGAGGGGAAGAAAGAGCCTGCTGGACTAAAGGGGGCCAGAGAGCCAGAGAAGAATCAGAGAAGGGGAGAAGGGGCATCGGTTCCCTTTTCTTTTGTTTTCTTTTTGTCTAAGACCAGGACTTGAACTCTGTAGCTGACACTTCACTCACTGGCTGGTGTTCTATGACCTGAGCCATGCCTCCAACTGCCTTTTTCCTTCTCTCTCTCTCTCCTCTGCCAGTACTGGAACTTGAACTCAGTCTCTCACAGTCTCCCTTAGCTGTTTTGCTTAGCTGGTGTGTTACTACTTGAGCCATGCCTCCACTTCCAGGTTTTTTGCTGGTTAAACGGAGATTTAAAAAAAAAAAGAGAGAGAGAGTATCACAAGCTTTTCTGCCCAACTGGGTTCTAACTATGATCCTCCTATCTCAAGCTCCTTGAACAAGGAGCTAGGATTTCAGGCATAAACCACTGGTGCCTAGCATCAATTCAGTTTAGCAAACATCCTGGACCAGGCCCAGAGCGGGGTCCTGGAGAGACAGAGGTAAGAGGGATGTAGGCACTAGCAGTATAGCAGAAAGACATGAAGAGACCATTTGAGTACAGGTAACACGCCTGGTCACGGAAGAAGGAAGGGCTTTGGTGAGTGCCCTGGGATACTTGTCTGCAAGGCAGATTGCTGAGTCAGCCGCAACACGAGTTGGGGCTAGGGATGATTGACACTGCAGATAAGGGGGTGTGGAGGCTCAAGTACACAGACAAGGCCTGAAGGAAAAGAGGACAGCTAGTAAGCCATTGCCAAGCAGAGAGGGGGCTGTTCCTGAGAAAGAGAGGCAAGAGAGAGTGAGGAACACCTGGAATCCAGGCCCTGATCCTCCTCAAAGCTGCACTGGTCAGTATTCCAGAGCAACCCACTGTGGTCAAAAGAGGCAACCCCGGGACTCCAGCAGCAGTACACAGGGACAGGTCCAAATAGCTTCTGCTTAGTTCTGGAAGGAATGCCTGAGAAACTTCCTGGAGCCCTAACTCTAATCCTGACACTGGACCCAGAGAGGAGAAAGGTGGGAGATTGTTCTAGAATCTACCTGGGGACAGGTGTGGATGCACCCTCCAAAGGGCTCAGCTCAGGCAGAAGAAGCTGATGGCCAACCATTGAGGATAACCGCCCCTCCCCCATCCACCCCTCTGCCCTGGGTCCAGCCTCACTGGTCCATGAAAGATCAGATCATCCAGTCTCTTAGAAATTGAGGGGGGGGAGGTGTTAGCCAGGAGTCGGTGGCTCATGCCTATAATCCTAGCTATTCAGGAGGCTGAGATCTGAGGATTGCCGCTCAAAGCCAGCCCAGGCAGGAAAGTCTGTGAGCCTCTTATCTCCAATAAACCACCAGAAAACTGAAAGTGGCCTTATGGCTCAAGTGGTAGAGTGCTTGCCTTGAGCTGAAGAGCTGGGGGACAGCACCCCAGCCCAGAGTTCAAGCCCCCTGACTGACCAAAAAAAGAAAAAGAAAAAGAAATTGGGGAGGTGGGGGCCGCTAAGGCTAACATGTTGGGTTAAGAGAGACTGGCTGGGGCTGGGAAGGTGGCTCAGTGGTAGAGTGCTTGCCTTGCATGCCTGAGGCTCTGGGTTTGATTCCTCAGCATCACATAAGCAGAAAAAGCCATAAGTGGCACTGTGGCTCAAGTGGTAGAGCGCTAGCCTTGAGCTGAAGAGGTGAGGGACAGTGCCCAGGCCCAGAGTTCAGGCCCCGAAAGAGAGAGACAGAGACAGAGACAGAGAGAGACCTGTGGCATGACCACACAGGACAATCAATTGTCTTCCCCTGTGCTTATTACTTTGTAGAATAAAATACACCTTCATTTGGGGAGCTGAAGACCAAGGTTCAAGACCAGCTCTGCTACTTCCAGCTGTGGGGCCTTGGGCAGGTGCCTCTGGGCTTTAGTTCCTTTCCCTGTGCAATGGGGGGCAGGGGCAGCCCCTCCCACTCCCAGACACTGTGAGTGAGCACAGCATGGCCCCACGGTGAGGCCACACATTTACCAACTACGCAATACTTAAGGGTGCCCATTTCCAGGCTCTCCCAGACCTGAGTGGGTGCCACCCACTCAGGCATCCACCTGAGCACATCCACGTGAGTCACCGAGAACTCGGCCAGCATGAACTGGGCATTTCTGCAGGGCATCCTGAGCGGTGTGAACAAGTACTCCACAGCCCTGGGCCGCATCTGGCTGTCGGTGGTGTTCATCTTCCGCGTGCTGGTGTATGTGGTGGCAGCAGAGGATGTGTGGGACGATGAGCAGAAGGACTTTATCTGCAACACCAAGCAGCCGGGCTGCCCGAATGTCTGCTACGACGAGTTCTTCCCCGTGTCCCACGTGCGCCTCTGGGCCCTGCAGCTCATCCTGGTCACCTGCCCCTCGCTGCTTGTGGTCATGCACGTGGCCTACCGGGAGGAGCGAGAGCGCAAGCACCGGGAGAAACACGGGCCCAACGCACCATCGCTGTACAACAACCTGAGCAAGAAGCGGGGCGGGCTCTGGTGGACCTATTTGTTGAGTCTCATCTTCAAGGCCGCTGTGGATTCGGGCTTCCTCTACATTTTCCACCATCTCTACCGAGATTATGACATGCCACGTGTGGTGGCCTGCTCTGTGGATCCCTGTCCCCACACGGTGGACTGCTATATCTCCCGGCCCACGGAGAAGAAAGTCTTTACCTACTTCATGGTGGCCACGGCGGTCATCTGCATTCTACTCAACCTCAGCGAAGTCACCTACCTGGTGGGCAAGAGGTGCATGGAGCTCCTGGGCCCCAGGCGCCGGAAGTCTCGGCATAGGCACCACCTCCCTGACACCTGCCCCCCGTATGTGATCTCCCAGGGGGGCCACCCCCACGAAGGGAGCTCTGCCCTAGTGAAGGCCAGCTCGGCCACCATGGAAGCAGGTGGGTATCCATAACCTGCAGCAGAATCAGCAGGTAGGGTCACCCTGTTCCCTGCCTGTCCCAAGGCCACCACCCCGTACAGGGGCAAAAGTGGGCTGATCTTCCCCTGGTGAGCAGGAAGGGACTGTGGGGACTCCAGCCTACTTGGTGTCCAGTCTGCAATGAAGGGTGACAGTGCGTCTGTGGGTCCTGAGCCTCCGTGGACTTGATGGCTGGTGGGAATTTTATAAACAGCAATAGGGTGAGTCGGAACCCTTAATAAATATGATTTTCTCCCCCCAGTTCTTTGCAGGCCAGGTGGTGAATGAATGGGGGGTAGGCAAGTACAAGGGTTCGAATGGGTACCTCAAAAGGGTCTGAGCCCCAGAACCTCAGATCCTATCACTCCAGACCTCCCCCCATACGCACATACAAAGTCTCCAACAACCTCACCTGGTGTACCACCAGCACAAGGAGAAGAATGACCAAAGGCAGGAGCTACACCAGGGCCCTGTAGCCCTGCAGCCAGCTGGCCAAGACAAAAGGACAGGGAGCCTTGGAGACTCCTGTGTCCAGCAGGAGCTGGTCCCCAGTGAGTGTCTGGCATATGAATGCAACACTGGGGCTCCCTCCCTGCTCCCAGCTCCCCAAACACTGTAATAGGCAGAACCCTAGTAAGGGAGTCTCTCTGAGGGAAGGGAAACAGTGCAGACAGCAAGCTAGGGATGGGACTTCCAGAGTGACTCTGACTCACCCGTACCTCATATCTGTGGAATTTCCCCCCTGTTCACTGAGACACATTCCTCCCCTGCCCCTACCACTGTTCTGACCTGACCCAACCCCCAAACCATGCCTTCAGCCTGGACCTGCCCCTGAGTCTCTGGGAGAGCCACAGGCATCTCAATGGCATCCAACTGACCCTGTCTCTTCCCCTAAGCCTGCCCCCCCCCACACACACAGGTGTGTGCATGCACACATGCACATCCCAGAAGTGTACTGATATCCCCCATCTGTCCAAGCTGAAAGCTGGTCTGGCACCCTCATTCCCTTCCCTCCCTCAGCCCCTCACACCCCACATCTCAATACAGTACCAAACCCCCGTACTCATTCCAGCATCTAAAGCCTGTTCCCAGCCTTCCATCTACCTTCTCACCAGGCCTCTCCAATCACAGGATGGAGTGATTAACCTGTCCCCAGATCTGACCACATCTTGGTTCCTGCACCCCCTTTTCCAAACCCCGAGGTCTCCAATCTCAGCAACCACTGAACCCCCATCTCCAGTTTCCTCCCTCCACTTACCACCAATAATACCTTGGGGCTTGTGGTTCCCCAGACACACAGGCCATACTGTGGCATGCCTATGGCCTCTATCATGCTGTCCCCTCTAACCTGGAATGTCCTTCCTAGCTCCTCTGAGACCTGTCCTCAACAGGACAGCCTGCGTGCCACCTGTATGCCAGCCTAGCTCATGCCTCTCCTCTGTCCTTCTCTCCTCCAAATTGAAATGGCCAGTTTTCCTGAGTGCCTCTCCACAGCCTGTGAGCCCTTCAAGGGCAGGACACTGAGTCACCCAGCACTTGTAGACTTCAATAAATGTTTGCTAGCTGAGTAAATGGGCTGTGAGCTGCCTGGGGGGAGGAACGTGTCATGTTTATCTGAACCTTCAGCCACACCTAGCCCAGGAGCTCAGCAACATAGTTTTTCCTTTGTTTGGGTTGTTGTGAACTAAATCCAGCATAAAATTCTTAATGGGAAACACTCCATGTCCTGATTGCTGGACAAGATCTGAGAGTCACATCTCCGGTCACGAGTCCTGAGAGCAGAGCCGGGGGCAGGGGTTCAGTGCTGTGAAGCTGGACCAGGGAAGCTGGACCGGTGGGACTGGGCTGAGCTCAGGGTACAACTCTGAGCTGGAACCCTGTGAGGCAGGGAGTGGGGATCATAAAAAATTCCAGCACAGAGTTGTCCCATCCTGGAGACATGCCCTGGGCCGTTGAACTCTCCTATTAGGGCAGGAGGGCTGGCCAGCAGGAAGGATCATTTCTTCAGTCAATCAAGATCATTTCTTCAGGAGCAACTATAACCTATGAACAGCTAATATCCACTGCAACAGGTGTCCCCAGGAAAGGGGACACGGTCAGGGCAGTGCTACCATACACCACCTACCACACGCTGAACTTGCAACTGCAAGAGACAAAAATGGCTCAGATCACCAATCCCAGAATAGGGTGACCTTCTTGACCAACCGGTGTGGCCCCACACTGCTCAGAAAACGGCAGTGTCCACATCTAAGTCAGATCACCAGTCCCAACAATGCCCTTAAGAGTCTAAAAGCCTCCCTATGGGTGACTGTTGGGTCTAGAGTGTGCTGTCACCCCCAGACTGACCACCCCCCAGGGTGTCCTGTCCATGGTCATGTTCAGACGTCCTGAGCCATGAGCCAGACCGAGGTCAAACACCATCTCACCAGCCCAAGGCCTCCACAGGGGGCTGAGGCTAGCCCTGGCCACACTTCAGCCTTCACGCTGACTCATCCTCAGTTCCCGTGGTTCGCTCTGCCATTCAGGTCCCATCCTTTCCTTCCCACCTCCCACCCCCTCACCCAACCCCATCCCACCCTAGGAAATCCCCACTTGCTGCTGCGTCTGCCATCTTCCTCTTCTGCCCTCTGCCCTGCTCTATCAGTGCCACCCACCTCTCACTCATTCCAGACTGAGCCATGGTCAAAGACCTCCTGGTATTCCCCCTAACCAGTCAACACCGGAGCCACCTGAGTATCACCCTCATCTCTATGTTCCATTCTTTCTCAATGTCACCCCCCACCTCTACAGCCATCCACTAGTTTAAGTTGACAAATATTGTTGATTTTTGTTTTGTTTGCTTTGTGGTTTAGAGGGTATTGTTGTTGGGTTTTTTGTTTTGTGGTACTAGTCCTAGGGCTTGAACTCAAGGCCTGGGCACTGTCCCTTAGCTTTTTTACTCAAGGCTGGCGGTCTACCACTTGAGCCACAGTTCCACTTCCAGCTTTTTGGTGCTTAATTAGAGGTAAGAGTCTTCCTACCTGGGCTGGCTTTGAACCTCAACTCTCAGATCTCAGCCTCTTCAGTAGCTAGGATTACAGGCGTGAACCATCAGCACCCAGAGATTTGAAGTTTTTAAATTTTTTTTTCTTTTGTCAGTCATGGGGCTTGAACTTGGGGCCTGGGTGCTGTCCCTGAGTGATAGATTAATAGACTTTGCCAGAGAACCACGCAGACAAACAAAGGTTTGTACAGAGAACAAACAAAGGTTTATTGCCGGAAGAGGGACTGGCAAGACCCCTTCTCAAAAGGGAGGAGAGAGACGCAGCATCAGCTATTGTCTGGGGTGACCTATTGAACCTAGGAGGTTTAGGAGGGGCTAGAAGGGCCTAGGAGGTGAAGACCCTGGTATGGACATGAGGGCCAGGAGCTTCATCATGGTGGACTAGGATTTATGGCTGCTGTCCAAATGGTAGATAAGGGTCCTACAGCTGCCCAGACCTGAAGGGCACTCTAAAGGGCTCCTGTTGCCTTATATGGTGGTAGCTGCCCCAAAGAAGTGCCATCCCAAGGTAAAGGGGGTTGGAGGGTATTTACTGCCTTTACTAAATGGGCCTAGTGTTGCCTAGGAAGGGAGCGTGCCAAGCCGTAGAGAGGGGAAGGGAGCTCATTTTGCTAACACTGAGTTTTTTCACTCAAGGCTAGCACTCTACCACTTTGAGTCACTTCCTCTTTTCTAGTGGCTAATTACAGATTAGACTTTCCTGCCCAGTCTGGCTTTGAACCATGATCCTCAGATCTCAGCCTCCTGAGTAGCTAGATTTACAGGCGTGAGCCACCAGTGCCCAGCTAAAGTTTTTGTTTTTGTTTTTTATAGTTAACAAACATTAACTGTACAGGGAGAGGGGGTTATTGTGACATTTCTATACCTGCATATGAAGTCTTCACCAGCCTCACCTCTCTGTCAATCTCTTAGCCTCTTCTTCCCCTTCCCCCCCAGCTTCTTAAAACAATTTCAATTAACTCCCCCCATCAAAAAAAAGAGGGGGGCTGGGAAAGTGGCTAGAAATTGTTAGTCTCGGTGGAAATTCAATGAAAGATTTGTTTATTTCTTTGCTTGTTTGCTTTGGGATATCATCTCACTAGGTGGCCCAGGCTGGCCTTGAAGTTGCAATCTTCCTGCTCTGTCCAGCCTTCAGAGTGCTGGGGTTATAGGAATGCACTACCACACCCAGCTTGATTGCTTACTTTTGTGTGAAAGCCCCATACTGGGTGCTGAGAAGAATCCAACCTGGTTCCTGGCCTCCGGGAGCATACATCCTAGACAAAATGGCAGACATCTCCAAACTTGGGGCACGCTGGGGAGCCACAGGGCACTAGAAAGAGAGGAGGGAGGACCTGACATCAGGCATCCAGGAAGGAGCTCTGAGATCTCTTACAGAAAACTGGAGGATTTCATCAAGCCAGGGAGGTGGGTGGGAGGGGATAGCATATATAAAAGGGTACCAAATCTAACGACAAAGGCTGAAGGAAATCCAAGCCTCCAGGTCAGACAAAGGTCCTGGTGACCTTTGTCACCCGGATAAAGTGGACTGGGGGCAGATTGTGCAACGCTCTCTTTGTAAATCCTTATCAATGATTTTGGACTGAATCCTGAACACAATGGCAAGGCACTGGAAAGATTTAGCTCAGCAGGGTTGCCTACGTGGCCTCGTGGAAGGAACCGAGGCAGGGCTACCAGTTTGAACTTTGATGCAATTGGAGTAAGAAATCTGGACATCCTGAACAGCGGAGGGTGTGCCCGGAGCAGATGGAAAGAAGTAGCTGGATTTAAGAAATGTTTACGAGATAGATTCAATCTCAAGATTCTGTGACTTGGTTGGGTGTGGGATGAAATAGAGGTGGGAATCAAAGTGACACCCAGGTTTCCTGGCTCTAGCTTGCAGTGCCATTTACCAAGTTGGAAATCAGTAGAGGAGCAGGTTTAAAGTAGATGTGAGGATTTCAGTTTCAGGCATGTTCAGACTGAGATGCAAATAAGATACCCTGCTTAGTCCCTCTCCCTCAAGGACTGTCTTAGCCAATAGCTCTCTCCTTTCTACTGCTACATTTCTTTTTTCTTACCAGTCATAGGGCCTGGACTCTGGGCTTGGGAGCTTCAGCTCAAGGCTAGCACTCTACCACTGGAGCCACAGCGCCACTTCCAGCTTTTTCTGCTTATGTGGTGCTGAGGAATGGAACCCAGGGCCTCATGCTTGCAAGGCAAGCACTCTACCACTGAGCCACCTTCCGAACCTCCTCCCC